GATTTTTAACCTCAGCAATTAAGATGGGAAAAGCTGCAGGTACAGATAGATATGAGAGGGACAGTCAGTTCGGAGTTTGAGATGTCTACTAGAGATCTGTAACACCTCGGATCCTCTTTGCTTCACTTGCCTGGGGGGGCCTTGGGCCACTTATTTTCTCATTGCCACTGACCAACAAAGTCAGGCAGTAACCGCCCACTTGCATTTTGCCTCCTGCTCAGTCCACACATCTCATAGGAGGGTCTGTTTGGTGCACACATAAAACAGAGTAGTGGGGCAGACAGTACTATGAAGATCCCCTTGAATGAATCTCGACTTCCTCCCCTGATTCACTGCTTTTCCCTACCTACGTTTCCCCAGAATTGTTCTCCCAAGTAATATACACATCATAGCACGCTATTTTGTCTCAAGTTCTGCTTTCTGGGAGAACACGGACTAAGACAACATGCAAGTGGAGATGTGAGTAGACATCTGTTTAAATGAATCTGGAGTTTGGGAGATGTAATTTTGAGAGTTGTCAACACATAGTGCCTGCAATCATGAGACTGGATGATGGCACTAAAGAGTGGGCAAAAGGAGAAACATCTGAAGATGGGAAGGTTGAAGAACTGAGAGCAGATATTTTGTTCATTGCTATATCTCCACTTTCTAGAAGAATGCATAGGTGCTAACATAACATTTTTAGAATAAATGAGATAGGTTACAATGGCCTTGGGGTCAGATAGGAAAGCAGAGGTGATGGGGTGCAAGGATAGGCAGTTCATGGAACTGGAGTTCATAATGAAGGTGAAAATTAAATTTGACAGCAAAAGCAAGAGAGAAAAATAACAGGAAAAGGAAGCTGTGGTTAGAGAAAAGCTCTCAAATACCACTTTCTCCTTGAAACCTTTTAAAATCATCTAAGAGGATCTTCCCCCTACTTAGGACTTCTTTCAGGATGCACGTGCTCTCTTCTACTTTTCATCTCCCTGATATTGACCATATCTTCCAGTTGGGAAACTGAGTCAAAAAAGAAAGTTGCCTATAGTTCCAGCTACTCAGAAGGCTAAAGCAGAGTCATTTGAGCTGAGAAGTTCAAGGCCACAGTGTGCTATGACCACATCTGTGAATAGCCACTGCATTCCAGCCTAGGCAAATAGCCAGCCAGACCCTGGAAAAGAAGGATGTACCAGAGACCAATTTGGATGCTGAAAGTTTAATCTTTCCAATTCATGTCTATGTTTTATAGAGATGCTAGAACAGACTATATGAAATTGGGAGACTGGATTTCAAATCCAGAATATATGTAGGCTGCTTGGTAAAATAACTTGCGCTTCAATAAACGATTGAATGATTGAACCAAGGTAGGTGGGAACAAACATTACTAGATCATTTAATAACTGCATGAGGCCTACTGGTCTGACTGTAGGGCACAGGTGAACAGGGGAAGCTAGCCCACAGTAGAAAGTACCTGGGAAGTTAGCAAAGCCAATGAGATGTGATGCGATAGTCTATGAGCGTTGAGATGAGGGTTAGTGTGAATAAAAAGGAAGAGTGAATATGAAGAAATTTTAAAATAAAAAATCACCATATTTGGTGGGTGATAAATATAGGCTACAAGTAGATAATGCCAAAATGTTGGTATCATGTATAGAGTCAGAGTAGAAAAGGCAAGCAGATGAACTCAACTTGAAAATGTATTTGACACAAGAATGAGATATCCAAGTAAAAGCTAGTAACAGGTAATATGTTTATTAATATTTATGACATGTCAGATGTTGTTCTAAGTTTACTTTACATGTATTATACCATGTACATAACACTATGAGGTAGGTGCTGTTATTTTATTTTAAAGATGGGAAAACTGAGGTATAGAAGTGAACAACTAGCCTAAAGTCTTTGGCTAGCAAGTGGCTGAGCCAGTACAAGGGCCTGTTTGTGTGCCTTCCTTGTCCCTACAAGTTCATATGCTGAAATCCTAACCCCCAATTTGATAGTATCAGGAGATGGGGCCTTTAGGAGACAATTAGATCATGATGGTAGAGCCCTTGAGAATGGGATTAGTACCTTATAATAAGAACCCCAGAGAGCGCTTGTCCCCTTTCTTCATTGTGAGACTGCAAGGAGTAAACAGCCATCTGCAATCCTGAAGAGGGCCTACACCTGTACCAGACCATGCCGACAACCTCCAGAACAGGGAGGAATAAATTTCTGTTGTTTATAAGCCATTCAACTCAGTTTATGGTATTATAGCAGCTCAGATAAGAGAGCCAGGATTTAAACCCCAAAATGTTAAGAAAATTTTGCCTGAAACCACAGAGAAATTCCCTAGGTATTCAATATTGAACAAGCACCATCACTATATTTTATACATTGTACTGTTGCTGGAAACGGAAGAGAAGAGGAAAAGCCGGTCGTTAATGAGATAGATGTGGTCCCTACCTGCATAGACATTACATGGACACTAAACAATTACAGGAATGATGAATTGAAAAAGAAAGTGATAAACTACAGTTAGGTAGGAGTGGGTGAGAGAAAAATTCAAGGGGGTGGGAATGACATGTGAAATGCCTTCAGGGGAGAGCCTGCAGTAGGGGAAAAAATCAAGAGACTACTAATGGCCGAGCGCAGAGATGGGGGTGGGTGGGAGAAAGACAAGTCCAGATAAGGGAGCTTAGACAGTGTTCAGTAAGCAAAGGGAAGCCAGTGAATTTAGGCAGATTAGTAATTCAATCAGATTTGTATTTTTAAAAAATTACTCTGGTGGTAGTGTGGCAAATATATTGGAAGGAAGCAAGAGCAGTTTTGTAGTACCTGAATGGTATTTATTATAGGATGTGAAGGTAGTTTAGACTACAATGGGAATGAAAAAATGGCCATGGGAAGCAAAGAGAGGTCACAAATCCAATTTTTCAGGAAGCAGACAGATCAAAGTGATTCTGATGTGTGCTGCAGATGTTTGAGGTTTCTGGCTTAAATTGAGTAAGTGGATAGGATACCCTTAACTGAACCAGGGGCTACAGAAGGAGTTTTGGAGGGATTATGACACACAGGCCGAGTTTGAAATGCTCCAGTCATGCAAATGAAATTGTAACACAATTGAAAATACAATCTAGAGTTCAAGAGCAAGATGTGGGCTTGAGTTATGGACTGAAGATTTTTTTTTTGCAGTTTTTGGCTGGGGCCGGGTTTGAACCTGCCACCTCTGATATACGGGGCTGGTGAACCACTCCTCTAACCACAGGCACTGCTGGGACTGAAAGTCTTTGACAGAGAGTATTTAAAATTACACGAGGGTGAGACAGCACCTAGGAAAGTGTGCATAGTTGGACTCAGAAAGAGGGCCAGGATTCAACTCTGAAGGATTCCAATATGTAAGAGTCAGATAAAGAAGGAGTTGATTGTTAAAGGGCAAACAAAAATAGGGAGGAAAACTGTGACACAGAGCAGAGGGAAGAGTATGTGTGGAGTATGGCCAGTATTATCAAATACCGGGATGACGTCTTAACAAAGTGAGCCAAAACTACTGGATTTACAGACATGAAGCCTGTCCATTAGAATTCAGAGCCACAGTCCATGTGGCCTTTTGACTGAATCCAAATTAAAAGAGCAAATCCTTTTAATAAAGTTTGGATTCTGTGGAGGGGCTGCACTTGGTGATCGGGAGGGCCACAGCCTTGAGGCTGCAGGCTCCCCACACGTGGATGGGTTAAGAGACAGGGGGATTTGTTAGAGAGGGATTTAGGAAGAAGAGAAATCTTTGTGAAGAACTGGGAGACTTAAGCACGCTTAAGTGCTTATAGGAAAGAGCCAGCAGAGAAAGAAAGACTGAAAATAACAAAGGAAAAGAGAAATACTCTTACACCCAAAGTCCTGGAAAAAGCAGCAGGGGATGAGCTCTGGAGTCCCAGGAAGGGCAACTCTTTCTTCATAACAGAAATCAGTACAGTCCAACCCTGTATGCTTCCTAAAGACATGTCTGCTTTAAGGAACAGAAAGAACTGTAAGATCTGAAAGTCCAGGGAGAGGACCGCAGAATTAATAAACCGGTGAATGAATGGAGAGTCGGGGGTGTAGCCTATCAGAGAGCAGTTTCAGTCGCCTCCAGGCCACTGAAGTCACCTCGTTTGGTATATAGATTGGGGGCGGAGATTGGTGGGGAAGAAAAGGGTGCAGTGGGTGGAAACCGCTGCCGTATTAAACAGGCTGAGAAAAGAAAGCGACACAGGATGTTGGTGAAGAAAGGCGCGCGAGTGGCACGGGGACATATTTCAAGTGCGGAAAAGCAACCTCGGTCAGGGCAGATTATGGGTCAGACGCCTCCGAGGGCCGTAGATGGGACCCACAGCCCTCGGCCGTCCGCGTTGCTGGGCTCAGCCCCAAGAGGTGCCCCAAGTTCCAGAGCCTCAGCCGCCCCCACCCCCGAAGAAGGCAGTCCTGCCAGCAGCCGCCGTTTCTCGGCGGGAAAACCATTCCCCCCTCCCCCGGCGCCACCACGCCCCGAGGCCTCGCCGCGGCCGCGCCGCACCCTCGCGTGTCAGGTCCGGGCCGGGCGCGTGTGCAGAGGCGCAGCAGCCCTCGCTCCGCAGCCGGCACGACTCCCGCACTCCATCAGTGTCCCAACATGGTCGGCGCGTCTCCCACGTCCTGACGGCGTTTGAAAGTTCCCGGGCTGGCGCGCTCAGTAGCCGAGCCCCGGCCCGTCAAAGTCGCCCTAAAGCCCGCAGCTCATGGACGCTGGACCAGGCCTGCGCGGGGGTTTCCGTCAAGTCGCAGACACCCCTCGGGAATTCCCCACACAAACCCCGCTTCCTCCTTCAAACTTCCGCTGTCCGGCTTTACCCATCCGAACGCAGCAGAGGGGCTTACATCCCTCCTCCCGGCGCGGCTCTAAGCCCACCTTCGCCTCGCTTCTCCCGGTACCGCCCCTTCTCCTTGCCCGAAGGAGCCCGAAGGCCTTCGGCAAGTTCCGCCCCCGCGCGGGGGCGGGGCCGCTCGAGCTGCTCCGGGCCGAGCTCGGCTGTTTCCGTGTGCGGCCGCTGCGCACTCGGCACTGGGCGGCGCTGGCTGGCTCCCTGGCTGCGGCTCCTCAGTCGGCGGCGGCTGCTGCTGCCTGTGGCCCGGGCGGCTGGGAGAAGCGGAGTGTTGGTGAGTGACGCGGCGGAGGTGTAGTTTGACGCGGTGTGTTACGTGGGGGAGAGAATAAAACTCCAGCGAGATCCGGGCCGCGAACGAAAGCAGTGACGGAGGAGCTTGTACCACCGGTAAGAGCAGCAGGAGGAGGAGGCAGGAGCCGGAGAGAGCCGGGGGGACGGAGGGGGGACGGGGAGGCGCCGGACGCCCGCGCTCGGGGCCTTCCCCTCGCAGGAGGGGCCGCGGTAAAGATGGAGCCTCCGCCCGAGCCCCACAACATCGCCGCCGCTCGCAGCGAACAAAGAATAATGGCGGCGGACTGGAGCCAGCGGCGGCCGGGG